TAAAACGACACCTACAAAATTGATGTATGGTGAGAATATCCGTTCATAACTTATTCCTCTTTCGGGCAATAATGACAACTATTTTTCATTTGATATGTGATACCATTTGAAAGTTTTTGGCCCCTTGAAAAATTTTGACTAAATCGGGTACAAAAAATATTTTTTAAACATATACATTATCTTGCCTACAGTACTTAACAAAGTTTCAGTAGGCCCTGATTTTATAGGTTGACTGTAATTTCAGTTTGATCTTTAAATAAATGTACCTGCCAATTCTGTTTTACTAAATGCGAAATTCACAATGAACAGGTATATGCTCAAAAAAATCCACATGCTATCAAAGTGAAACATTATCAGCATCAATTTCGCAATAATGTTTAGTCTAGGATCATTGATGGTATTATTATTCTACCCAATAGACTGAATGAGGGAATTTATTTAGAATTTTTGCAAAACCCTAGTTATTGAAAGATGTGCCGTTATTACTCAGAGCTAATATGTGGTTTATGCATCCACCACATTTCACTGTAAATATCCGGCAGTATCTGAACCAAAGATTCCTTCGTCGATGGATCGGTAGAGGGATAATGTTTCTGTTAACTGGCCTTGTACGTTCACCAGACTTAACACCTCGCGACTATTATCTTTGAGGCACTCTGAAAACAACGGTGCATGCTTCCACATCTAACACTGAAGAAGAGTTGTGGAAGCATATCCAAAATACCGTAAATATTTTAAAATACAGCCCTTAAGAACTGCCGAATTAAGCTTTGTTGTAGAAACAATGGCGATCATTCTGAACAGTTTTTATAATAAGTTGTACTAAATTTAATAACATCAACTTTGTCACTTTTAACTCCAGCTTTTTTAAGTCTATTTGATTGTTTTTACGAATTATTTCATTATATGTTATTCTGGGACACCCTGTATAGTTTCTGTGATGATTTTTTGAAATTAAATTTGATTCAGCAAGTCCTTGTCGTGGCTTCTAAAGAACTACTGACTATTGTTGCAAAATTGCTACATGCTACTATTTTAGTTTTCTAAAAAGTGTTTAACCTAAAGTACCAAATTCCTGAGACTGAACAAAAGTACAAATACATAGACAGTTGTCGATCCTAAACTTCCAGGCGCACTTTTATGGCTGCGGGGGAGTTACGAAACCATTTAAACCATCTCCGGGGCGGCGGCGTTATTCCAGACCGCGAAGAATATCCGCCGCAAAAAATTGTAAAAATAAATAGAGATCGGTTGCAGGCGATGGGCCGTACGTGGTTTGTTTTACAAAGTTGTTTTTATTTTCAATGGCCATCGAGCCGGTTTGGAGTAATTCTAGACAATGGCTGGAATGGTGAAATGCAGGAGTGCTTATCTTTATTTGCCAGCCGCCGTGCCGCAACGGACGGCCCCAGGGGCGGCGCGGGGCCGCAAGACGAGGGGAGGGCGAGGCCGTAAATAACCCGCATTGTTTGTTATTAAATTGTTTTAAAATCGATAGCCGTGGAGCTGGCACGAGATGCCTAACGTGCGCCTCGTCGGGAATCCGGAAAAATATTTCTTAAATTTGCTTGTGTTCGAATTATGTTGAAGCGCATTTTTTAAATAACTGATTCGCATTGGAATTTTGAGGGCCTCGAAGTATTTGCAGCTTTTCGAAAGATTCTAAAGTTATTTTTATATATTTCGAAGTTTTTTAGGTATTTCGATGTATTTCAAAATATTGTCAAGTATTTTGAGCTATTTTAGGACTATTTCTATGCCTGCTAAAGCTTTTAGTACAGTCATTGAAGCTTTTCACCTCCGAATTCTTTGAAACTGAACCGATCGACTTGAAATTTGGCAGATAGTTAGAGAAAAGGTCAATGAACATTAGTGACACAGCGCCAATTGACGCTTTTACCCTGTTAGAGGTTGACACCCCTTTCTCGGGGGTTGAAATTTTTTTTTAAATAACGCTGGAAGTCGATAGAGAATTAAATTTTAAGCAAAAAATATTCGAAGAATTTTTTCGAGAAATCAATAGTTTTTTTGTTATTCACGATTGAAAACTTTTGAGTAAAAAAAGACTTTTTCAAAGTATTTTTCGCGAATAACTCAAAAATTACGTATTTTATTTAAAAAAGTGTAATGAACAAAAATGTAGCTCGTAAATAAACAAAGAAAATCGTTTTTTAAAAAGTGTTGTACGTCCTATACAAAGCGAAATATGGTTAGTGGAAGGGGACTTGTTTTGGGGGAATACTCGAATCGATGTATTCAACGTCAAATAACGGAAAAAGGATTAATTTTACGTGTATAACGCTCCTATCCTACGAGTTTTTTGTAGTACTCAAAAAGACCTTCAAAATGAGTCCTTATAAAAGTTAATTAGAGCAAAATTGAAGGAGATCGTCAAAAACAGATGGGTTGCTCATATTTTTTAAGGAAAAATGAGCAGTAAACGATGTACCATTTAAATTAATCGTAGACCCTTTACAATTAGTTTTGTTTTAGTGTTTTTCATACGATCCTGAAGTTAGACCGGTTTAGAATTCGTATTTTTTTAATAATGTGCGGTAAAAGTTGAAAACGATTTTTCATTATTCAAAAAAAAATTGTCTTATTTATATAATAACTGTGAAACTATGAAAGATACGTAAAAATGACAGACAACAAAAATGTAGCTTTTTTTATTCCTATAGAATAAAAAATAAAGGAGATATCTCCACTTGAAGTATCTATTTTAGTGAAAAAACGTCCTGTCTCGAGCCCTTCGATCCTTTCCCTTTAAAAAACGAAGGACTTAAAGGGTTTTATATGCAAACGATCTTACAGCTCTTGAAATTATCTTTAAAATGCTTTTTTGTAGGATACTGTAGCTTCAAAATTAACCGAGTTATGGTAAAAAAACCAATGACATTTTTTCGGAGCAAAATAGGCTTTCTCATTTTTTGAGCAAAATGTTAGGATTATAAACGTTTATATAGGTAAATATCTGTGTACATAATACATATATATGTACATACATACACACACACACACACACACACATATATATATTGCACAATTATAGCATTCCAAGATTTAAAACCTAATTTTTTATCATTTTTTTAGCATAGGGGTGATTTATAAGGGTTGAAAAGTGTTATGAGATACAAATTCTTTCATAAGCAAAGAGGGATTTTTTATTTTAAATAATTGCACCGTTAAAACATTCCAAGCTTTTAAAAAGTAATTTTTTATCATTTTTGTCAATACAGGGGTGGTTTTTAGGGGTTGAAAGGGAAAAATTTCTTTTATTAGCTATAAGGTAACTTTTATTTTAAATAATTGCACGATTAAATCATTCCAAATCTTTAAAAAGCAATTTTTTATAATTATTTTTTGCATAGGGATAGTTTTTAAGGGTTAAATAAAGAGTCGAAAAGATCAAATATATCATAAAACATGTTCGAGAACATGGAACATTATTTAATATTTGTGCTTGAACGAGATTTTTATCAATAAAATGCTTGAAACTTAATTTTTTCAATTTTTTTCACTTAGGGGTAGTTTTTACCCCTAAAAAACAAAAAGCGTCAATCGGGCTTATGTCACTTTTGAATTTGAGCCTAAGATGAGCCTTATTCTAAATTTTCATGCAAATTCATGCAGTTTCAAAGAATTCGGAGGTTACAGCTGATTTTCAGCTTCAAAACGATACGGCAATTCTCTTTACTATCCGATGGTAGGGTGCAAGATAAGGATAAATTTGTATGTGCTTTTCACCACTGGTAGTAAACTAATCGGTAGATTCCTACGTGACTCAATTTGCGGAAATCCTTAAAGTAGCACAGTCCTATTGATTTCAAAGGGCATCCTCCTCAACTACCTGCCACAAATACTTACACCTCTATTAGGTCCAAGTTGTTCTATTAAGCGAATATTATTATACAAATTCAGAAATTTGCCGCCGGATTTGTCTGAAAATAACGTGGTAGAAATGGTATCACAAATTAGTTTGTATTTATGTACTTGTATTTTAGGAATTAATTTTCTAAAATGTCCCCCATTTTCGCCGTCACTGGCGAACATGATACTCGCTCTTTACGGAGCATTTGCGGTCGGACCAGGAATAAATCCCAAAGAAATAAGGGCTCTTATTTATTTGTCTTCGGAATTGATTGTCAATTTTAAAGCAACTGTTTGTGCATTGTACTCCCGAGACTAAGGATCCGAATATAATTATTGTTTTTCAGTCCTTACATTTTTTTTATTCGTTCGATTTGTTTGTTCTGCCGTATTGCTACGAGGAAATTAATTGGGTATTATCATATCTGCCCTTCCAGGAGCTGATTCTATACCCCAGATTTATTACCTTATTTGGGGTGTATTTTTCTACCTTTCCCGAATTGAAAGAAATAATAAATACAAAGCTCCCGGAAAAATTTATGTTGCCCGGGATATTTATTGCAGCTCTTTGTTTGATGTCATTCGGGATTAATTTTAAAAGATAGAGATACATTGATTTCCCCAATTTGTTACCTTCCTATAAACAAAAAGCTACTGGTCAATAGTAGTAGGGTTATATGTGGACTCATTTTTTTGTTAGATCCCAAAAACTAATTATTAGTCGTAGTGCATATGTAGTTCAAAATCTAGGGACTTTAACCGTAGCGTCAAATCGACTTCTGTCAAGATGACGACCATAAATCAAACAAACATCAACCTCATCATCATAACAAAATTTTAAGTAAAATTAAAACCTACACATAAAACAAAACAAATGGCTGCTGCTGCCGCCCCCCGTAAAGCTTCCGCCTCTGGGGTAAGTGGTCCCCCTGTGGGTATAGATCTGGGCACCACCTACTCCGTCGTGGGTGTGTTTCGAAACGGTACGTAGCTCTGCTTTGCTTACTCACTCGATTTATTCCAAATCTTCCTAAGGCGCTGTGGACATCATCGCCAACGACCAAGGTAACCGCACGACACCAAGCTACGTCGCCTTCACAGAAACTGAGAGGCTTGTCGGCGATACAGCAAAAGCACAAGTAGCCATGAATCCCACAAACACGGTATACGACGCTAAGAGATTAATAGGTCGGCGGTTTGACGACCCCTTGGTGCAACAGGACATAAAGCACTGGCCCTTCGATGTGATAAACGACAAGGGGAAGCCTAAGATCCGCGTCAAGTACAAAAACGAAATGAAGACGTTCTACCCTGAAGAGATTTCCTCCATGGTGCTGGCAAAGATGAAGGAGACGGCGGAAACTTACCTGGGGATGCTGATTTCGAGGGCCGTCATCACGGTGCCGGCATATTTCAACGATTCACAAAGGTATTTCTTTCCTGTTGAGCTAACTCTTTATTTTACTTCCAAAGATGATTAAAAGATTATTTTTACGTTATTTATAGTAATATTTTTGAAGACAGGCGACCAAGGATGCCGGTACCATAGCGGGATTGGACGTCCTGAGGATCATCAACGAACCAACAGCAGCAGCCATCGCCTACGGCCTGGACAAGAAGAGCGATGACGATCGGTACGTGCTGATTTTCGACATGGGCGGTGGCACCTTCGACGTGTCGATACTGCAGATTTCTGGTGGGATATTCGAGGTTCAATCCACAGCAGGTGACACTCATTTGGGTAAAACTAATCAATTAAACTAGCGGATACTTCACCTTATCTTCTGTTATAGGTGGAGAAGACATTGACAACAGAATGGTACAATACTTTGCTGATGAGTTTAAGAAGAAATATAAAGTGGACATCAAGGATAACAAGAGGGCTCTGAGACGACTGCAGACAGCTTGCGAGAGAGCCAAAAGGACCCTGTCGTCTACGAACCAAACTAGCATAGAAATAGATTCCTTGGCGGATGGGAAGGATTTGTACTCTTCCACGACCAGAGCAAAATTTGAAGAGGTAAATTTACAGTTAAAAAAAAATAGGATAAGTCTAGGGATAACGGTCGTACAAATATAAGTGTTTGGGGATTTACTAGATACTTATCCTCAGTATTATTAAAAAAAAATACCTTCGACAAAAAAAATGTCATGAAGATTTAGATTTAGACAATAAGTTTTAACGGACGCCATAACCACCGGTTAATAAAAGATTTAAAAATATATACGTTTACACTGTGCTTATGATAACAGAATTTTCATATGTTTTGCCAAGTATAAGAGGAATTACTAGAATTCATGGTCAAAACAAAAAAATCACGGTCATCACCTCCTATCTCATGAAACAACGATTTTATGACCGAACTATGTGGGACCAAATCTAATATCTCTTCCTTGTTTGTATTCGAACCCGCGACCGACTAATATTGCCCCATGTGACGATATTTGACCGTCTTCAGCTGAACAATGACATTTTTATGAGGACCCTGGAGCCGGTGGAGAAGGCCATAAAGGACGCAAAAATTAACAAAAGCAAAATAGACGAAGTGGTGTTGGTGGGCGGATCAACGAGGATCCCGAAAGTCCAGAGCCTTCTGTCGGGCTTGTTCAACGGCAGAGAGCTTAATAAATCCATAAATCCAGATGAGGCAGTGGCGTACGGTGCCGCAGTTCAAGCCGCGATCCTGTCAGGAGACAAATCGGACGTCGTGAAGGACCTTTTGCTGTTGGACGTGACGCCATTGTCGCTAGGTGAGTCACCAAAGAATAGTTTCATAAGATATATTACGATTTATTTATTATTTACTTTTTTCAAGCATTATGCTATCGTCCGGTATTGGAAACATCGGTAAATTTATAAAAGGATGTTTTAGAACGTCCCCAATCTAGAGAATTCGAAGTAGTAACTAACATGTATCGTCCTCTTCGACTAATCGATACAGCCAAACCCTGCTAAGTCTACGATCGTCGTAAATCTGACATCAATTAGAATTCTATTCTTAGTACGTCCCATTCCTTAGATTCTAACTTCGGCGCGTTAGTTATTAATTACTTCATCGCCTCTCGTTGTTTCAACCCCTTGAGGCGATAGAATTGTAAGTGTCACATAAGTGGCAATGAAAATTACATCGTTGTTCCTCTGTAGCAGACGCAGACAGCACGGATTACCCACTCGACTAAATCGGATGATGAATTTTTAAAGGGCACATAATGAATATCGTCGGAATAGGAGCTAGATAGAATAAGCAGATTCGTACCCGAAAGGTTTAATTTGATGATGTGACCTTTCTTTTGTGTTCGTCTCGATGAAGCGACAAATTTAATTATAATAAAGGAACCAGGAATCATGAATATTTTTCAAGATTTAGCTGTTATGCTTTCTTTAAATAAAACTGAGATTACCTGTTTCTTTTTTAATATATGTATATCCCAATTGGTTTTTGAGTCTATTAAATGAAAATGTTCCGACGTTTTGACCAAGAAAGATTGTAGAAGTTTGCCAGTTGAGTTAAGGGACACTCTGTATGTCGCGAAATTCTGTGCAATTTACCTTGTCGAGCATTAAATCTTATAGTGTATAACAATTTCTAGGCATTGAAACCGCTGGAGGAGTGATGACAGTCATTATAAAGAGGAATTCCACAATTCCAATCAAGCACACGCAAACCTTTTCCACCTTCTCCGATAACCAACCCGGCGTTTTGATCCAGGTGTTCGAAGGAGAAAGGTCCCTTACACGCGACAACAACCTCCTGGGCAAATTCGAACTTTCAGGTGAGCTAAAAACGAATAGGAAAAAGCCAGGGGTTTGGAAATAGTTCTCTGTGATTTACCGCAACGATAACTATGAACATGATAACAGTTTCTGGTGCCCTGTTTGTATTTTAATTCCCTCCTTCGGTTCTAGGATTCCCCCCAGCCCCTAGGGGCATCCCCCAGATAGAAGTAACCTTCGACCTGGACGCAAACGGCATCCTCACCGTCAGCGCGACCGAGAGCGCCACCGGCAAGAAGAGCGACATACGCATCAACAACGACAAAGGCAGACTGTCGAAGGACCAGATCCAAACGATGATAGAGGATGCGGAAAAGTTCAAGGAACAGGACCTGGAGATGAGAGCCGCGGTGGCAGCCAAGAACGACCTGGAGTCGTACCTGTACCAGATCAAAAACCTGTTGAACGACCCCATGGTTTCGTCTAGGATCAGTGACTCGGACAAATCCAAGATATTGAGAATGTGTGGAGAGATCACGGATTGGATGAACGGCAAAGATATCTACACGGAGAAGGAGTATGCTTTGAAGAGGCAGCAGCTGGAGAATCTGTGCAAGCCTGCGGTTTTAAATATTTATGGGAGACGAGGGTCGAGTGGAAATCAGAATGACAGGAGGTTTCCCTCTCCCGGAAATGGTCCAGCCTCCGGTCCAACTATCGAAGAAGTCGACTGAATAATAAGTAACTGTAAACGGTTAATTCTTTCTCATTGAACCATAATTTTTATTAAAAGGGGCTGATCAATTTTGTTCGATTTTTTATTAATTCTCTTGCCGAAGCACTGTTCTATTTGAACTTGGAAACAGCAAAGATGTGAAAATTTTAAATGCCATTTAGGTACCATTTAGACTCTAAAATTAAGTAGACTGCTCAATGTGAAACCCAACGAAGAACTGCCTCTTTTTCACTTCGCTTCGACACGCCCATCTCTTGGGTCCAGACGTTTCTGTTCTTATCTTACTGGCAGGAACCCTGAATATTAGGACGCTTTGGCATAACTATGTCATGTTAATGGTTATCTAATTGACTGATTTTACATTTATCTAAATAATTTTGAGACTAAACTTACAGATAACCCTAGCCTTCCTCTAGTGACTCCGTGTAGCAATACGGGACGGATTAGTCCATCTCATTTAATCTATTCTTGGAAAGTTCGCCTAAAAACCAGCTATTTGACCTATTATTATTTTCCTGACAACATTCCAACAACTTATTCTTGGAATTCCTACGATCTTTGGAATGTATTTTGCGCGTTATTTGAAATATCGATTTTCCTGTTTATACCAGATGCCCAACACATGGCCCCGACAGTCTAAGTGAACTTGTTAAAAAATATTGGTAAATTTCTCCGAAGAACGACGCTAAACCTACTTGAGAGCCCTTAACTTTCGATAATTAGTGTTGACTGAAATATTTTACTTTTTGGCCCATCCGTTCCGAGAACTAATAAATAAATTGCCACGCGTCCCGGCTTTTGTTACATAAGCAAATTCTCTTAACGTCGGATCGAAACGTCGACAAACAGCGGCGAAAACGAAATGAAAGTGTGTCTAGTTGGAAACTCCTAGAAAGAGGATCGCGTCGGGAGTCTAGTCAACTTCCAAACAAAACGTAACGGGGGTCTGGCGAGATTGGCAATCAAGAGCTGGCCTCGTGGATTCTTTTCTACTTTTCGACAGTGCCCCAACTTGCTACACTCTCGCGTCCCCATTGTTGTCAATCTAAATTGCCCGCTTTTATTTGATCCGAGCGCCGATATTGTAATTTCTGTTCGTGAGTTTGATAAAGTGGTTTTATACGCTTTGACGAACGGAACGAGCGGAATGTTTTTTAATAGCGTCGCGCCGCCGTGCTACCGTCGCGTGCAGACGGACTCGGCGGTCGGTAATTTCCTAGTAAGAGGCCCATAAAGCTGCTTGAGAAGCATTTTTTTCACGTACGAACGTCTCGGATTAAATCACCGGGCGTCCAATGGAAATCAAACATGTTAAGTCGATTTAAACGATAAAAAATTATTGCCGTGTCTTTGCCCATACGTTTGCGTCCGGTAAATATTTGTTTCAACTGACTAACTGGTGCAGCGATTAACCCCAGTGTTCTGTGGTGACATTTATTTCCCCGACTTTTACCGTTTAATGCTTTGTTAGCGTTGTTCGGGACGTTACACCGAATGGAAAGATATTTATACTGATTATACATTGAAATAGTGCAGGTTTTTCACCACATGCTTGAATATAATAAAAGAACTAATAGAACATTCATATAGGTCCATATTTTTTCATGATGAATTCATCAGAAAGAAAATCTAGTCTCGTTAATTTTGTCAATACACTGCATCGACCGAAAATCATGTTTCATAATTAACGTGACAGTTTGTTTTCTGCGCGTTTACCATACCGTCATATCATACCACGTGCGAAGTCAACTGGCAGTAGCGGCTTTTCAAAGGCAATACGCCTTTTTAATAGAACAGGGGAGGCTAGCCTCCGCTATACTTCGTAATCGTTCGGAACAGGATCGGATTTTGCTTAATTTAAACTGCTATAGTCTTTCCGAAGTCAGTTGAACGTGTATAAAAACCCCTAGCGATAAAATGTAATGAGTTTCATAGGCGTCCCTAAAAAATTTTCCTTAAAGATTTCCCCTTCTTGTGTTTAACAGTGGCGTGCATGACCTTAACAGGGAAACGGTGACAGAGTACTCGCATGCCACTGAGGTTCATTTACCGTAAAAAAAAGTTACGACGTCGTTCGTTGATTGTATTTTATAGTGTCCCACGGAATGCGGAATGAAATACTAGACCCGCAGGTACACATACTTCACATTAGGTATTTCGAGCGGCGGGCGAACGGAAAGCGGTAAACGCAGTTTACGGTGAAAGCGTTTACTTGTAATTTGAAATATAATCGTCACAATTCCAGATTATGATTAAGCGATGTTTGTGGTTTCGGTTATTTAGATGTCGGTTTAGGGAATAATTACGCATAATGTCTAGGCAATTAATGGGTTTTGCTCTAATTCCGAACTTCTATATCGCTGTGGATTTACTTCGCCTCATCTGCCCCCTAATTATGTTCTGGGTGAAAATGAGGAGATAGTTCCCTATTAATTGGATGTTAATAACTGCGTCTAGTCTTGTCTGGCTCTATACCGAGCGTTTCGAAGGATTTCGATGAAGAAAAAGTAATAGTTATTTATTGTACAAGTGTTTTAAGTAGCATTTTAGGGACATACAGGGTCGGAAAGTCCCCATGGTTCATCGGCCGTTATAAGAAGTGGATCTTATTTGTGGAAGGGCGAAATGGGCGGTGACTATTAGACGCCTTCATTATAGCCATCTTTCTCTATCGCACGGATTTCTGTGACTTACTTTATCGCTCTCACGTAACGACCACCGATGAACCATGGGGACTTTCCGACCCTGTATGCCAATTTTCCACCAATGAGCAGAATTCTAAAAAATCAACTTCATACATAGTAATACATAATTTTAATTATATATCTTGATAATAATAATGCACTAATAGACCAGGGTCGATAATTTTTGAAACCAAAAAAAATTATAGTAGGATGAAACCCATTGGAAAAAAAGAGAATATAACAGAAATGAAAGGAAAACTAATTTACGGGCGATCTGAGGTCGGGAAGGGGAAGGGGGTGAGTTTTTAAGGGTAAAAAACGGTTTCCCTTGATTTCCAGAAAAACTACAAGTCTTATGGAAAAAAGTTAAATGGCAAAGTTGTAGGTAATAAAAAGATCTACAACTTTTGTATTTACACTTTTTTCACATAACCTCAAAATTTATGTGAAAAATTCAAATAACCAAGTTTTTGGTTTTTTATTTTTATCTTTTACAAACAAATTTTTTTTTCACGAAATTTGGTGAAAACTTACCTATTTATGTCCCAAACACGCTGTAATTTTTTTGATTTGAAATATTTATTTTTTCACCTTATTTTTACTTAATATCGAAAAAGCACCCTAATTTTCAATCGAAAATTCTCACGTCAAAATATCTGCTTTTTTAAAAACGTCGGTGGGCTTTTTCTTCGTTGAAATCTCTACTTTCTGATGGTGTAAAAAAATATATACATTACTATGGTAAGTTTTCTCAGGAAATGCAAAGAAACGAACTAGAATCCGAAAATTTTTTTCTAATCATTATGTACAATTTTGAGCTATTTATTAAAATTTACACTTTAATTACTCGAAAAACGTAAGATTCCATGTTACATTGATAAACAAAAAAATTACAAGTCGAAATATACTATTATAATTAACAACCAAATAAGTTAATAAAGTTAATATTTAATAAGACATCTACAATATTTTGAGAAAGTTGTAGAATCTTCTTTCGTTTCTTTGCATTTCCTGAGAAAACTTACCATAGTAATGTATATTTTTTTTCACCATCAGAAAGTAGAGATTTCAGCGAAGAAAAAGCCCACCGACGTTTTTAAAAAAGCAGATATTTTGACGTGAGAATTTTCGATTGAAAATTAGGGTGCTTTTTCGATATTAAGTAAAAATAAGGTGAAAAAATAAATATTTCAAATCAAAAAAATTACAGCGTGTTTGGGACATAAATAGGTAAGTTTTCACCAAATTTCGTGAAAAAAAAATTTTTTTGTAAAAGATAAAAATAAAAAACCAAAAACTTGGTTATTTGAATTTTTCACATAAATTTTGAGGTTATGTGAAAAAAGTGTAAATACAAAAGTTGTAGATCTTTTTATTACCTACAACTTTGCCATTTAACTTTTTTCCATAAGACTTGTAGTTTTTCCGGAAATCAAGGGAAACCGTTTTTTACCCTTAAAAACTCACCCCCTTCCCCTTCCCGACCTCAGATCGCCCGTAAATTATTTTTCTTTTCATTTCTGTTATATTCTCTTCCTTTTCCAATGGGTTTCATCCTACTATAATTTTTTTTCACTTTTTACCATTTTTGAAGGCTTAAGCACTGGTCTATAAACCCGAACCAGATTCAGACGTTTTGTCATTACACATATGCGTGGTAGTGATGTATGGTTAATCTACGGCGAATGTCAGCAAAAGTCTGTAGAGGCACCGCATCATTATGTAGAACATTTTCCAATGAACGTCCATCCTGAGACGCTAACGAGTCAACGTTTTTATTATTTTTCTGCTCAACGCTTTTTCCCAATAAACAGGGTATAAGAAATTTGACTGCCATTACTTCAACATGAGTTAGAGTAATTATAAATGAACAAAAAAGTTGTATATTACAGGGGCGTAAGATTAACTACTATATATTTTTTTCACTTTTTACCATTTTTGAAGGCTTAGGCACTGGTCTATAAGATAAAAAAAAATGACTTAAAAAAGTAATAAGTGTTCAATATGACCCCCTTTAACAGCTCAACATTTGTCGATTCTAGAGATATCACCATCAGTCACCGCTTTTGCTATTTCAGCTGCAGGCAATTCACGGAACGCTCTTCGTATTCGAGCAATCAAATCCTCTTTTGAAGCAACGGGTGTAGAATAAATTTTTTGCTTTATTACTCCCCAAACATAAAAATCTAATGGAGTGAGGTCGGGAGACCTCACTGGCCAATTCCACGGGCCTAGGCGTTTCATCCATCTATCTTCAAACATTTCAGTCGGCTGTTGATCGATTTGATTGTGACAGTGAGGTGGAGCCCCGTCT